TTAACAAATATAGAAAAGGCGATAGCCAATTCGAACGAGACGTCAACGCGCAGTGAGGGCTTGACGATACCAATTTTCACAGGCATGTTTTTACATTTTGACTATTTCGCAAAGATACGGATCTGAGGAATCTGCGTCGGGAATTTGTGATATCGTTTCCCAAAGAAATCTATTAAACATTTGTATACATATATACGATGATGACAAAGTGCTTATGCATATACAAAAGCGAAACGGGCAAGGGAAGGAGAGACCGGAATAGCGCTAGTAGCAATAGTAACAAAGCCTTTTATAGCTACGCAGATAACATTGCTGGCAAGGCAGAGCAGGACGAGGGAGTTCTGCTAGCAATCGGTGAGCGTTCATCAATGAGTGTCCTGATCTAAATCGGCAAGAAAACGAGCACGTGGCTCAGTATTTAGAGCGTTGTACTTCTGATCAGAAAAGGTTGAGAGTTTAAGCTTCGGATGGCCCACCAGTTGGGGTTTGGTATGACTGGCTGACGACGGCTAATGCACCAGAAAGTGGTCATTTCAGTCTCCCTTGTCTTTGATGCTTTAGGTAGATATCATTACCGGCAGAGTGCGTCGAGCAAAATTACGACTCACGAGACGACACCAGTTGCCTCAGGCGCATGATATATTATCAGACAAAATAAATCACCCTCTTCAGATTTTTGGTCCGGTCGGTAAGTGACATGTTGTGCAACGTGGTGCAACCAGCCCAAAAACAGCAAAAGCCTGTTGACAAACTAACTATCAAGATGTTAATGTAATAGGAAACACCTTTCATTAGGAAGCGCCATCTGCAGTTGCTGCTTTAAGTAGAGATTTCGGGCACATTTTGGATACCATGGGTCTATTGCCTCCCTCCTACGAATGTAATTCAACGTGGCCAAAGTTAAAGAAACTGATCGTCGTTTGTAGGAAGGATTTTCATTGAAATTGCACATTATCCTTTGAATAATATTGTTTCTCTAATACAATTCTCTTTTTAAAAGATAGTTTGCATGGGCTGCAATAGTCAGGAAAAATACATAAGAGCAGTTCTAGCGTTGACCTTTAGTTCTTAATTTTCTTGCGGATTTGGAGTAAAATACGTGCGAGAAGTTATTTGAGGGTTGGTTCGAAATTCTATACTAATTTTGCCGGCTGACGTTATTTAAATGTCAGCGAAGGAAAGCATAATATGCTAAATCATAATCGAACCACAGAAATATGCTTATTGAAACTAATAGCCCATACTCCCAAATGAGTTACTGGCTAAAAGCATGGATGCTTTCTTCGCTGAAACTTGACATTTTATTGGTTCCCGAAAAATGTATCTGTGATATTTGCAGTACTCTGAATAGGGTTACAGCAGTCTGCTCAGTTTTGGTAGCTGACGCTTATACTCCAGAAAAATGTCGCTGACAGTTTTTATGAGCAAAATTGCCTGGTGTACATTTCGTCTACTACACTTCCGACATTTCCGGATACTATATACAGGGTGTCCTAACAATGTAAACACATTTTACATAATTGTAAAGTTGGTGTTTATCATACTTTATTATTATGAACATTTAAAAAGATTTACAAGCATAATTTCATTGTTTTATTCCCTGAATGTCCATGAACTGACGTCCGTTTTGATCATGACACTGCTGACAACGCGAAGCAATGGAATCGCACACACTATGAAACAATTCATTTGGTATTCGGGTGTATTCATGTTCAATGGCTTGTCGCAATTCAATTGGGTAAAGATTAGCAAAATATCGTTGTATGCCATCGTAGAGAGCAAACAGCTAAATACTGAAACCATAAACATACAAAAGCAGTCTGATAAGGCGTGCATTTAGGCATATACTGTTAGGCATTTGCGTCAAAACTCGCCTGCAAACAGTTGCCTCCGGCATCCTCAATGCGACTCGTG